ACTACTTATTACTATTAATTATGTATTGGTCTGGGCCTTCCTCATACTGTCCACGCATCAGTGTGACACGCCCGCAACACGTCTGCGCCAAAAGGGGTTGTTTGGATTTGGCAATGTCCCATCGCAACCACCATCAGGTAACATCCCATCATCAACTGCCCAACTGCAATTCCATGTGGCCCGTCAGCGTCTCACTTCGCCGAAGAAGAGATTCCACATTAAGGCAAGTGCCTAGCAGTTGCAAGTTAGCTGCCTTGCCAAATATCGCTACCACTACTATTCCTACTACTTCTACTACTACTACTACTACTACTACTACTACTACTACTAGTGCTGCTGCTGCTACCACTACTTCTCCTGCTACTAGTCTTACCATTATTACCTTTTACTTTTATTACTCTTGTTTTTATTTCTACTACTACTATGCCCACAATGACGACTGCGACCTAGTAACAACATGAGGTCGACGACCCTACTACAGTGAGGCATCCCTGGAAACATATTCTAATTGCCCGTCCAAAAAAACACCGTGCCTCCCAGAGAACAAGTAAGACAGAAAATAGAAGACTACAGGAAGAGAAGTGCAGAAGTTCCGCAGGTTAAGACTGTCACCACATGTGAGCACGATGCTCCAGCAAGTGACAGGCACAGACCCACGCATATTCTAACTGCTTTTTGGTACAGATTCTTTCCAGGCTTTGTAACCATATTCTGACTGCTAGCTCCACATAGTACTTCCACATCAGCCGATCATATGTGACTACCATAATCCCATGATGGGGGATTACATATTACGAAGAAGTCCGCGTCAACGTCACGTTGCCGGCATACATCTGCCCTCGTGAACGTCACGTCACGTCAACGTCACGTCATGCACAGCATCAAAGACAATTGCAAGTACATCTGAATGCCATTCGTCAACGTCACGTCACGTCACGGCGTCATCGCCAATCATCTGCCTTCGGTCACGTCAACGTCACGTCACAGCGTCAACGCGAACCGCAAGTACATCTGCGTGCCATTCGTCAACATCACGTCGCGTCAGCGTCACGTCACGGCGTCATCGCCAATCGCAAGTACATCTGAATGCCATTCGTCAACGTCGCGTCACGTCAGCGTCACGTCACGGCGTCGTCGCCAATCATTTGCCTTCAGCCACGTCAACGTCACGTCAGCGTCAGCGTCCACACCGTCATGACCGTCACGTCGCGGGACCCATCCGCGGACCATACTCGCAGACCGTGTCGCGACACGAGTGTCCCACAAGAGTGTCCCACAAGAGTGTTCCACAAGAGTGTCGCGCAACCGTGTCCCACAAGAGTGTCTCACAAGAGTGTCCCTTAAGAGTGTCCCACAAGAGTGTCCTATAAGAGTGCCCCACAAGAGTGTCCTACAAGAGTGTCCCACAAGAGTTTCCTACAAGAGTGTCACACAAGAGTGTCCCACAAGAGTGTCCCACAAGAGTGTCCTACAAGAGTGTCCTACAAGAGTGTCCCACAAGAGTGTCCTGTAAGAGTGACCCACAAGAGTGTCCTACAAGAGTGCGTCACAAGACTGTCCCACAAGAATGTCCGACAAGAGTGTCCCAAAAGAGTGACCCACAAGAGTTTTCCACAACAGTGGCCTATATGAGTGTCCCACAAGAGTGTCCTACAAGAGTGTCCCACAAGAGTTTCCTACAAGAGTGACCCACAAGAGTGTCCTATAAGAGTGCCCCACAAGAGTGTCTTACAAGAGTGTCCCACAAGAGTTTCCTACAAGAGTGTCCTATAACAGTGTCTGACAAGAGTGTCCCACAAGAGTGTCTCACAAGAGTGTCCCACAAGCAAGAGTGCCCCGTAAGAGTGGCCCACAAGAGTGTCCTACAAGAGTGTCCCACAAGAGTGTCCTACAAGAGTGTCCCGCAAGAGTGTCCTACAAGAGTGTCCCAAAACAGTCCCCCGCAAGAGTTTCCTACAAGAGTGTCCTACAAGAGTGTCCCACAAGAGTGTCCCACAAGAGTTTCCTACAAGAGTGACCCACAAGAGTGTCCTATAAGAGTGCCCCACAAGAGTGTCTTACAAGAGTGTCCCACAAGAGTTTCCTACAAGAGTGTCCTATAACAGTGTCCCACAAGAGTGTCCCACAAGAGT